TCGGCGTTTCGAGCACTTTACAGCACCCATGGTCACGGGAGAACTGAGATGTTTGAGGTCTGTTGGTAGTCTTAATAACTGTACTATGTATGTTATCGATTATATCATGCAGACATTAGTTTTTAATCAGTTCTATAATATGATATTTTTATTACTTACGCTGTATAGCAGTTTTTTTATCATAAAATATAATTCTCTTTAGAGATACGTTAAAAAGATGAAAAAAACCTTATCTTAGCAACTTTCTAAAAGGCCGGCAACGCATCTGCAATTCCCCTGGCGTTACGTTTGTTCATGGTCGACGGTAGTCACGTACCATCAGGTAAGCCGCATGCTCGTTTGCCCTCTCTTCTAGAAAAACAACAGTGTTGGATAAATTTAATTTAGATTTAACATGATATTTTTACTGCACCAAATCTTTTTCTTTTTCCACATATTGATAACAAATTTATTTTGTTCACTAGCACAATATAAACACGTCACTAGCACAATATAAACACGCAACGCAAAATAGCGATTTTAAAAGAACTATAAGTTCTATTTGGGCTGGTATATCGATGTTCATAACGCTTGTTTGAACATCTTCATGAACTTTTGCTGCTTCGGACGGTACACTGAATATTTTGAGTAATTATCCTTCACGAAATAAAAGAACAGACCAGCTGCAGACAATAACTTTCATAATAAAGCACCATATAAACTTCATGATGAACTTTGTAGAATAAATTAACTTCTACGTTATAATAATTGTAGTCGCCGACTGCTTAGAATGAGTTTAATACTAATAATTTTATTTTGCCTTAAATGGAAAGTGATTAGATTTAGTGTGTTCTTTCAGCCATTTGAAAATCATCAGTACTTTTGGTTTCGGGGGTTTTTTAAATTTTCAATTTAAGTCGTATTTAATTATTTTTTGGGTTGGCTGGAAGAAATTGCTATGTTAGCATTAAGACAGCCTTTTGTTTTTCTTGGCAGTAAAGAGTATCGTAAACAAAATAAAAAAGTAAATTTACAACCTACGTACATCCCACTTCTGGGCACAGACCTCTTCTTATTACTAAGGGGGTTTTAGCGCAAGTGAATGTTCGTCACGCGGTAATAGTGCGTGTATATGATAATAAGAGATCAGGTGTGGCATTTGACCTCATTATTTTAAATAAAATATCGTAATATTATAACTTAACACATATTTGTTTACAAATTCAATAATTTCCAAACAATGTAAAAATAATTAAATTTTTATATTTTTCTAATACCATTCAGAGAAGTTGGAAAGCCAAACATTCTTTGTATTGTTACTTCAAATTCTATTCAACTGTAAGAAAATATTATAGAGGTATCAAAATATTATTCTTATGAAAATGTTTTTGCCCTCAAAGTTTGTACAAACGCTTATCTTGTAATGAAATAAACATTTTTATCACGAAATGTTACCGTGTTGACTACAAATTCAAGAACAACGACTATAAAATAAGATGGAACTTTTACGCATATTTGTTTGTGATTGTACACGTAGAGAGAATGTTCATTCTTATTAAATATAACACTAATTATATAATTTCCAAACTAAACTAAACTTCAGAATTTCATAATTTTTTGTTTTATATAATAATTATAATAGAATAATAAGAGATATCAGTATATCTAGTACATATCATCTCATATATGTCGTAAGAAGAGATAGAGAGGAATGGAAAAGGAGACGATTAGCAGCATCTTTGCGGCAGCCCGCCGTTCCTATCAGACAAACAATATGAAAGGCTCTATGATCGGGTTGTAAAGATTAAATGAATGTGACGGTTTAAAGAACCTATCTCATAAAAACATTTTTGACGTTATAGATCATGATGCAACTATATGTTTAGTCGTCTGGAGTGACAATACATCTGCATTTGCATCTGACCATCAGGTGAGCTCTGCTCTCTTTTGTCACTATCATTATAACATTCCCGTTTCATGTCACGAATGTCATAGAAACCGTACTAAATAAGTATTTATATATTATAAACTAAGTGGCTACAAGATGTGAAATAACCCAACGATCCCTATCACTACACACAAATATTTTGTTTTCTAGTATTGTGTCATTGGAACATTTATTTTTACGGAATCCATCTTGTTGTTGAGATAAAAGATTGTTACTTTTAAAGTAGTATCTAGTATTTAATATCCATTCGATATTTTAGACATGTAATATAGAATTAGATTATAACTAAAAATTAGATTATACTAAATTACATATTGATACTAAAGGACTAAGATAGAATGCCTCGTTTCCAGTAAAAAGGGTCTCCAGTTCTGTACACTCACCATACGAAACACAGCAGCGTTAAGCTGCTATTTTACGCTGGTATTCTGTGAGAGCGTGGTCCTTCCCCGGTCGAGCCGACCCATTCGTGCTACAACCATAATATAGCTGCAACATGGCTCTACCACGTATAAAACATTACCATCACATGGCTGTTCCAATTACCTACAGCCGAATTACCGATGATCTCAGTTTATGCATTCTGGCGAACGCTATAATTACAATCCTTCTTATATAACTCATTTTGCTGAAATATTTTTTAGTTCAAAAGTTAAAAAGGTAAAGTTACAGCCTATATATACGTCCCACTGCTGGACACAGGTCTCCTCTCATTTCTGAGAGGGTTTAGAGCAAGGAAATGTCCGCCGAGCTGCCCAAATGCATGTTGGCGAACGTCACATGTCTTCGAAATATTATTTCTCAGGCTTTCTCACGATGTTTTCCTTCACCGCCGAGCGTCAACGATTTACAATTACATTGGTGCCGGTGGGGATCGAACCCGGATGCATGCACTGTGCAAGTTAGAGCCGTGGTTGCTCAATATTTTTTTATTGTTATTAATTTTACTGTCTCAATAGTTCCTTATATTTTACACGAGTTAATAACTCCTTGACCATGGGTGCTGTAGAGAACCCGAAATGTCGACTAAAATTCGTAAAATAATTTTTATTTAATTCTTACACAATTATTCTTTTTAATAGCAAAAAAAAGTCAATTAATTTTTATAGGACACACATTTTTGTTCTTATCTTAAAATTGATTTCTATAAAGAATGTGAATAAATATACGCCTAACATTTTTAGCTAATTCAGTTAAAAAAAAATCTATGACGAATATAATTAAATTATCCATGAGGGTTATTTGTGTGACAGCAGAACTCTAAGATATTCCTGGAACAAATCTCGGGTTGGGCCAAATATCAGCTATTGGTTTATTCTGTAAAGACATTTTCAGTAGCAGCCCGGAGTCAGTAAGTTGGCGGTCCCGTGTTCTGGAAAGCACGAAAAACGTTGATCCTGCACTTGATCTCCCGCCGATCTTGTTGGATTGCTGTCCCATCAGACTAAGAGAATGATGGAATTAAGATTTTCCCTGTGCTTGCGGACACACTTGTACATTATAAGACTGTCCGGCGCAGATAGCTAGCGTCGTGACCGAAGTTCCGCCTGGAGGATATAATTATTATTAAAATAATAGAAGAAATAGCCGAGAAACACTGGGAAAATCATAATACATACAGACCTAATTACTAACCGTTCAGACAAATACGAGTAGATACGTAATGTCCACACAGTTTAATCACTAAAAGAAATTAACATATATTATTATAATATATTATTATAATTTTAACAGTGGTAGAGCCACGCGGCAGCTTTTGCTGTCGCACGGATGGGCCGGCACGAACCGGGGTGGTACCACGACCTCACAGAATACCAGCGTGAAGTAGAGGTTTACCTCTGCGTTTCGCTTGGTGAGTGCAGGTGGCCGGAGGCCCTCTTTACTGAAAATGAGGCATTCCATCTTAGTCCTCACGGGTAGCAACGCATCTGCATTTTGATTCGCAAACGAGGATAGATGTAGATGTCTATGGGCCACAGCAACCACCTACCATCAGGTGGACTGTGTGCTCGTTTGTCACCCTTATCCTATAAAAAAATATATAGAATACCTTATATTTATTTACGCTTCAGTTCTCTAAATAAAATTTAACTGATAAGTATAATTTCACTGTGATCTATTTAACAGTCTTCATAATAACAGTCTGTAATATTAGTTTTTCTGTCCAGATATTCTCATTTACAGCCTAGAGTTAGAAAATTGACGATGTTTCAGCCCATTGCTTCGGAAAACCAGATATATTTATAACAAACTGCACACGTACATGCACTGGCTTACAGAACTCGAGGCTGTAATATGAGTAACAAGTTTTTAAATTGGTTTGAAGCTAATTAAAAAAAACAATATGTGTTTAGAGAAAAGTTTTCTGTTTTCTTCCAGAAACGTCTACGCTGCATTGTTTGCTCATCTCACACTAATTTACGTACTACGCGGGGTTCAACACTCGTGACAGTGCGTTACATATTTATGTAAATATAACCAAGTCAAGGCAGCCGAGATTCATACTTTGCGTCGCAAAGCGAGGTTTCAAAGCTGCCGAGTGCGTATCAGTATAAATATTGCATAGATACATAACTTCCCATACGTTCAACTGGTTAGACCATATCATTACTTAGTTCCGTGATGGTGTCCACGACTGTACATTATTCGCGTAGTGGCGGTGTAAGAATATCCTATATCTTATGGAGTAATTGATATTTCTTCACTCGTCCCATGGGTGACAAACATTATCTTTTACAACAAAAAAATATTGGAGACAGGATGGCAAAAATAATTGTGAATCTACCGGATTATTGCTTATTAAGGTCTCGACAATGCAATAAATTTAAATGTAATGTGGCCGTAGGAAGGAAAAGGGGAGATCTCCCTCCGGGCAAGGTGTTCTGCCCGGGGAGCGGCCAACGCTCCAATTAGTAGTTCGGAGCTATTCTATATATGCTGCTTTAACTTCGGAACTTTGTTAGTGCGATTTAGGCTTCGATTTGTTTCACTTGTGGCGCGATGACAGCGCCGCCACAGTAAAGATTATAAAAATATCTATATTGAGCTGACCTGTAAAAGTTTTGGGTTTTACTGATTCAGATCATGTGCATTATCAATACTCAATTCATTATCATCATCATCTTCATCATCATCATCTTCTTCATCATCATCATCGTCATTGTCATCACTATTCCAGCCCCTTACAATTCCACTGCTGAACATAGGTCTCCGCCAAGGAACATCTTGGAACACGATCATGAGCCACGCATCCATCGTCTTTTTGCATGTCTTACCAGATCGTCACTCCATCTAATTAATTAATAGGTTTAATATGAAAATAACAATCATGTAAGAATGTCCATTAATATATTTTTAAAAAGCGATTACCCAAATAAATAAAATATATGGTTTTTGTCTATCTTACCGTTACAGCCAAATAAATTCCATTGTTGATCATAGGCCTACCCTATAGATCGCTTAATATAATAAATTTTTATACGTGGCCAGAGAGATGACAGAGCCATGCTGCCGCTATATAAGTAGTATCGTTGTAGCCCGAATGGGTAGGCTCGAACAGGGAAGGACCACGCTCTCACAGAATACCAGCGTAAAATAGCAGCTTAACGCTGCTGTGCTTTGTATGGTGAGTGTAGAAAACCAGAGACCCTTTTTACTGGAAAATAGGCATTCTATCTTAGTCCTCACGGGTGACAACGCATTTGCATTTTGATTCGTAATCGAGGTAGGTGTAGAATGCAGATGTCTATGGACCACAGCAAACACTTACAGGTGGATTGTGTGCTCGTTTGTCACCCTTATCCTGTAAAAAAACAGTTATTAATAATTATCTCATAAACTATGAGTTATAAAACGTTACGGATAAAACATCTATGGTTTGCAATTTTAACAAGAAGGATTTTCACACTTAATATACGTTAAATACTCGTAATAATTTCCAGTTTATTCCTCTATGCATAATGGAAATCACTTTTTACGCTTTCTTGGAGCTCAGCAACGTTATTACGATACGATGACCTGCGTCATTCGACGTCAGCTGATTTACTATTATTACGATGAGCGTTCTTTATTTAAATGGAATGCTTAATGACCTGTAATTGCTGCCCATCTTTTACCATTCATTCATACGTCTATTCATTAGCCTTTAAATGTACACTGCTGGATGAAGACCATAAGGAAAACTTTAGCAAAAATCACCATGCTTTTGTGGCAGCGCTGTCGTCGCACCACAAGAGAAACATATCGAAGCCTAAATCGCGCTAATAAAGTTCCGAAGTTAAAGCAGTATATATAGAATAGCTCCGAACTACCACTTGAAGCGTTGGCCGCTCCCCGGGCAGAACACCTTGCCATTTCCTTCCACCGGCTACACTTTGCAGGGTTGTAGCTATTTTTATATATGTAGGAGGATCAGAAGCTACCCCAGAGTGAATTATCAAATTAATTATTATTACGAACGCCTAGTTTTTAACAGACTTAAAAAAAAGGGGACGGTACTCAATTCTACTATATATTTTTTGTGTGTTACCTCAGAAGTTTTTTCTGGGTGAACCGTTTTGATGATTATTATTTTAAGCTAGCGTTTCTCATTTGGTCCCATATAAATGTGATCAAGATCTGACCAGTGGTTTTTGAGTTATCCTTATTAATGGGTATTTAATGGACTACGACTACATTGATGATGTTCTCATTTTATTTACTCGTATATTGAAGTCGGTCCTACATTTTTTTTTATTTTAATCATTTGTCTTGTAACTGCATTGACCCTGGACTTAATGAAGCACCCACGATTGGATCGGCTCGACCGGGGAAGGACCACGCTCTCATACAATACCAGCGTAAAATAGCAGCTTAACACTGCTGTGCTTCGTATAGTGAGTGTAGAGAACCGGAGACACTTTTTACTGGAAAAAAGGCATTCCATCTTAGTCCTCACGGGTGGCAACCCATCTGCATTTTGATTCGCAAACGAGGATAAATGTAGATGTCTATGAGCCACAGCAGCCACTTACCATCAGGTGTACTCTGTGCTCGTTTGTCACTCTATACTATAAAAAAAATATAGAAATAGAACTTAAAATAAAAGTTAGTATTTTCTAATCATTAAATAAAAATAATTATTTAAACACATAAATGTAGCCTATAAGGTGCCCCGGGTACCGGGTACCATCCTACCTCGTGAATATACCCCCCCCCCCCCCCCCCGATGAATAAAGTTACGAAGAGACGGTTGCCACCTACGACTCGACCTGGCAACTTATAACGCACGCACCCTGAGGACTGACGAGGAGATCCTGGAGCTAGAAGTAGACATTGACAAGTTGCACTGGAATATTATAGGATAATCTGAGGTCCGAAGAGAGGGGGAGGACACGGTAATCCTGAGATTCGGCAACTTGTTCTATCACCGGGAGGGCAACCATCTGTACTAAGGAGGTGTCGGATTTATCTCCCACAAGTATCTCGTTAACAACGTTGTAAAGATTGAGAGTGTGTCGACGAGGGTTGCGTACCTTATACTCAGAATCACCAAACGGTATTCGCTGAAGGTCTATATATGAGGATATCTCTAGAGCCCTGCATTCCTCCAAAATCCACTATACGGTGTTAATTGGAGACTTCAATGCAAAACTAGGCACAAGAGAGAACGGTGAGCTGAAAGTAGGGAAATTCGGAACCCAAGGGGCCAGCGGCTGGCCAACTTTATAGAGAAAGGGGGACTCTTTATGATGAACTCTTTCTTCCAGAAGCGGCCCACAGGAAGTGGACAGGAATTGAATTACATACACGACTTTTCTACAGATTTATTGTATGTATAGGACGTATAACTGTGTTATTTTTGCCTTGTTGTAAAATATTTGTTTAAGAAATGTGAAAAATTTATTCGTATTTATTTTGTAGGCATAAAATGTAAAATTTAAAATAATAAAACAAAGTTTTCAATACGTCTGTATCGTATGTGTGCTTTTGTATTTTGAACACGACGAAAACTGTTTATTTTCAAACAATTGTTTTATCGCGTTATTTTTAGTGTTAAGTTGTTTAAAAAGGGAATGTTACTTTACACCTTTCTTTGAAACCAGTAAAACGTAATGTTATAACCGATATAAAGTGACCGATTATTATTCAACATCATAAGTCATTTTAGTTTACAGTTGGTCTTTCAACACCTTACTTCTATACTTGTTTGAGTCTCACAGAATATCAGTGTTTCGTACAATGAGTGTAGAGAATCGGTGACCCTTTTCACTAGAAATGAGGCACTCTATCTTAGTCCCCAAGAGTGACAACGCATCAGCATTTATATTCTTAATCGAGGATAGCTGTAGACGTCTGGGCTAGAGTATCCACTTCCTATCATACTCAGGTAGACTGTGTACTTTTTGTCCCATATTTTTTATTTGTAATAAAAATTGTAATATATTTGTTACGGGACTTCTTCCTACCCACTGGTACATGCGCGATGGGATTTCTCCTTTCTATATGCGATTTGTCAAGCTTACCGTTATAAAGTTTATCTACTGATGGATTTTTGGCTAATGTTCTTAGAACCGTTTCCATTAATCAGCAATGTGAGAAATAGTTACTTTTTATTAAGTAGCTGTTCTATTGACAATTGGTTGGTACATTTTTGTAACTTCACAGAAGTACTGTTCTTGCGTGGTGCTGGCGTAAGAGAATACATCACATACCACATGGTCATGTCATTATGGGTGACTATTACCGGAAAGATCTAATGGCTTCCGATGGTGGCGCTATAGACATCTTGTTTATGATAGGCGTGTACTATATCGTTGATGAGTTTCATCTAGTGTTACAGCATTATTATTAGAATATACCAACACCACTTTCTAATCTTCATACATAATGTGGTACAAATGCACGAGTCAACTCGTCACATATAAGTTTGTTGCTGCGCACTGTATTATTATATAATTATTTTGAGAAAACACAAACAAATATACCGTATAATTAGAGAGAGCAGAAAGCTATTGACTACAAAGACGAAAGTAAAAAATTAATACTTTCGTAGTAATAGCCAGCCAATAAAGCTATGTTTACAAATATTGTAAAGTAAAAACATACAAATTTGATGTGGCCAACAGGCTATAAAGAGAACATAAAACATAAAGAAGGGGAAGATATTAAGTTATAACATATGAGACATACTATGATTCCTTTGACAAAAATTTTCTTAAGTCAATAAGGTGAATTCCAATTTGTGAAATAAGGTTTGTAAAGGGTTTATCATAATTGATCTTTGAAAGGATGCAATTATATTCTATGCAGTAATATTTGATTAAAGCGTAAATTTGTTTTAGTTTGTAATTTTAATTTAAAGGCAAATAAACACCATCATATTAGAAACATTAAAGACTTGCGCAGTAACAACTATAGATACAATTCATGAACAACTTCTTTATTACATTCTGTCTTGAGTCTTTACAATATTTAAATACCCACAATATTATTATGTATATTTAATACACAATTTTAAGCTAACATCCTTATCATCAAGAACACTATCACTAATTATAACATAGAATCTTAGTGAAACATTGGACTATTAATAAGTAAAGGTGACATAGGCTTCTACTGATTACTACCAATCATGCTTTGTGCCACATAATATGTTCAATAATGTTTCATACTACTTTGTTGGGACAAATAGTCCGACTAGGTAAGTCAATCAGACGAATCCAACTCGGCGGGACTGCGTTCGGGAAATTACGACACACCTTCTCGTCAGGTATACTTCAAAATTTGAAAACGATATTGTACAATCAGTGCATGTTGCCAATGATCATTTCATGATCTGAGGCATGGTCCTTCACTGCTAGCCGTATGAGGAAGCTCATGGTCGCTCAGCGATCTATGGAGAGGTCTATGCTCGAGGTTTCTTTGAGTGATAAACTTATAAATGAGGATGTCCGCAGTAGAACCAGAGTGACCGACATAGCCCAACGGATTAGTCAGTTGAAGTGGCAATGGATCGGTCATATATCTCGAAGAACCACAACCGATGGGGAAAAAGGTTCTCGAGTGGCAGCCTCGTACTAGTAGGCGAAGTGTAGGGCGTCCCCCCACTAGATTGAGTGATGACCTGGTAAGACATGCAGGAATTTGATCGATGTAGGTGGCTCACGACCGTGCTATGTGGCATTCCTTGGGGAAGGCCTATGTTCAGAAGTGAACTTGAGAATGGCTGTAATGATGATGATGATGAACTTATTTCATAAAAAATGGCAATTTCA